TTTCATTTACTCATTTGATAGACACATTCAATAAAACACAAGTACAGAATTTGGAAGTCCCTGGAAGCCTAACCCACCCTGTGTCCTTGTACTACCCACACATCAGAATGGCCCGAGTTAAACATCCAGCCACCCTGATGCTGAGCAAGAGGCTCAAGAAAGGTATATTTCTTTTTTTTTTAAGATTTTATTTCTTTACTTTTAGAGAGACGGGAAGGCAGGGAGAAAGAGAGGGAGAGAAACATCAATGTGTGGTTGCCTCTTGAGCACCCCCCACTGGGGACCTGGCCCGCAACCCAGGCATGTGGCCTAACTGGGAATCGAACCAGCAACCCTCTGGTTTGCAGGCTGGTGCCCAATCCACTGAGCCACAATGGCTAGGGCAAGAGAGCTATATTTCTGTGGACTTTTTCAATGTGGAAGGCCAACTGACTTGCACAGCAGAGGTCCTACACTGGCAGAAAGAGGGGCTCTGCTCCCCCCATACCTATATGATTTAAGTGATGATCCTAGTATGGTAGAGGGCGGGGAAGGCCTTTCCATTAAGTCAGTAGTGACTTTAACACCCAGTTTCCTTTTACAAACACTGTTATCTCTCCTTCTTCCTCCTGCTCCCTGCTCCCCAACTCCTGTCTCCCCTGTGGTTTGTACAGCATAGCTCCCCAGGGCTTCACCTGCTATAGCCTCAGTGCACCTGTGAGAGGGTGTTATTTGCTTCAAAAGAGCTTTGCAACCCCCTGCACACCAGAGGAAGACAGAGACTCGGGGGAAGGGAAGGCAGGAAAACAATGTCAGAAAGGGAAAGAATAGCAAAAAGAATGAGGTGAAACCCCACCTGGAAAGGATTCCTTCACTTTCACCAGCTGCAGCTCAGTGTCTTCCGTGTATACAGCAAGCGGCCAGAGGGCAGAAAACAGGGCTGCCACCTCCCTGCACCCGCCCCCACTCCTCAGCAGCTGGGCCAAGTTCATAGCCCTGGGCTTTAACTTTCCTCGCAGGAGAAGCCGAAGCAAGTGTAATGTTCAGCAGTTCAAGTGAAATGAATACGTGTCTATGGCGACACACAGGTGGTCAGTCATGAGGGGCCCAATTGCTTGTTACAAACACTCATTTCCCCAACCTGGTGAATCTGAGGTGAGCGAAGAGGGGCCTGTGGATGTGTCCTTTCACTGGCATGACAGCTACGTCCTATCCGCAGGTTTGGGAAATGCTGAGACAACCCCCCTCTAGACTCTGACCGACCGGGGTCAAGTTCCAGTTTGGGAACTTCTTGGTTTTCTAACTGGAGTCTCAGTTTTCTCATCTGCAAAATGAAAGTAATCATGTCTACTTGGGAACCTTATTGAGAGGATTTTAAAAAGCAATTTCAAAAGAATCACAATGGCCCGGATGCGTAGTTGATTTTCCCTAAAGGCTCATGCCCTTCATCCGGAAGACACTGGGGAACTACTGAAAGCTTCCAGGCAGATCATATCCACACTGTTGCTTTACTTTCACCCGTGTCTGCGACACCTAGACAGATGGTTGCCCAGCCTCTTCTGTCACACCTCCTGTGACAAAAGATAAAATGTACTATCTCCGGAAGCAGGCCATTCCACTTTGAGACAGCTTTAATCAGTGGCAATTTCTTCCTCTTGGGGAGCTGAGATCTGCCTTGGGTGACAGAATAAATCTAATCCCTTGTCCACATGATTGGGCGATGCAATTAACTAAGGTAAGGGAAGTGAGGAGGGGTTGGTGTGGGAAGGTCTGTTTTGCACACACTGTACTGGGAGGGCGGCTTCGGGCCCATGGCCAGCAAGTAGTTGCACTGCAGGTCTGGAGTCCAGTAAACTGATCGGGGGACTCATTTACACAAGGACCGGACTCAAAGTTGTGAAAATAATTTGTCATTGCCATTTAGGGGGCAGAGCTCATGAAATGTGCTGAGGAATGGTCAGTGAGGTTAGGAAGACAGCCTTTAAAGAAAAAAGCAGGTAGCCCTGGCTGGTGTGGTTCAGTGGATGGAGTGCTGGCCTGTGAACCAAAGGGTCACTGGTTTGATTCCCAGTCAGGGCACATGCCTGGGTTGAGGGCCAGGTGCCCAGTAGGGGGCACACAAGAGGCAACCACACATTAATGTTTCTCTCCTCTTTCTCCCTCCCTTCCCCTCTCTAAAAATAAATAAATAAAATCTTTTTAAAAAGAGAAAGAAAGAAAGAAAGAAAGAAAGAAAGAAAGAAAGAAAGAAAGAAAGAAAGAAAGAAAGAAAATAGAAAGAAAGAAAAAAGTAGGTAATCCATGGAGACAAATGTTCTGAAGAAGTCAGACCAATGGGAGAGAGTCAGTGAACCAGACCTTGGATTGGACGACTAAGAGGTCACCGCAGTTCCCTGGCAGACTTGGGCCTCTGCTCCTCCAGAGCTGCTTGGAGCCATCACACCAAGCTCAAGGGCAGATGCTGAAAGAGAGCTGATTGGAAGAAATAGCAGCAGCGAGTACAGATGACTCCAACATTGTCCAAGCTGCATGTTAAGATGGGATTCTCCAAATAAGGCTCCTATGCTCCTTCCTATCTTTCGGGAAAATACTGCCTAGGAAGTCCGTCCTGGAGATTAGTCACAGGGAAGAACGCTGCTTTCCTACTGAATCCTACAAGTGCCCAACTTCCTGAACCAGCACTGCCTTTTCATTGAATACTATTCACCTCTCGAGGAACTAGTGTTTGCTAGCACAGAATTGAGCAAACGTGGAGAGCAGAAGAAGAGAGACGAGATGATCGTTTAAGGAGCTACTGGTATGGAAGGAATGTCTTTCTTTTCGTTTTAGGAATGGAAGAAAGTTGAATATGTTTATACGTGGAAGAAAGGGAACCAAGTGCAGAGTGAAAGGCCACAAACAGGCATGAAAGGAGGAAACAGAGCTAGGCTGGCTCTGGCAGAGGGGCTAGTTCAGCGAAGGACCTGGGATCACTGCTTCAGCCAGGAAATGTTATTTTTTAAAGTAAGTCACAAATGTTCACTATTCTAAGCCATATTTACTTTGTGCAAAGGATACAGATGTGACTGAGATAAGGGTGAGGGCAGATTATGCAAACTGGATAAACTGCTTTGCTAGAAGCAGAGTCCGTCTCCACCCTCCTCCTCAGAGTTGGAGGAAATGTTTTCCTGGCTGGGGCCACAGAAGGGGGTTCCAAGTCTTCCAGGTCAGGAGCTAACGCCCCAGTGCCCCTACCCAGGCAGGGAGAGCTCTAGCCCAGGAGAGGTGGAGAGGAGAGGGGAAATCTAAAAATACAGCTCTCCAAAGAAACTGTCTTGCCTAAAGAGTAGCTTCCCACGCGCACTGGAGCGCCGCATCTGCGGGGGCTCGGAAGCATGGAACAGAACAGTCCTGACCAAGTCACAGAGGTATTACCCTGTAGCGCCAGGCCACAGCGCATTGCTGACTCTCCCCAGCAGTGCCTGGGTGTCTAAGGCTTTAGTGACAGAAACCAGAGTGAGAAGTGAGTACAACACATGTACAGAAAGCTGCTCCCAAAATGTAAGGACTCAAGGGGAGGGGTTATTTTAGAAAAGAACCATGAAGGGGTTAGTGGGCTTTGGGCGTAAAAGCTGGGCTCCCTCAGCCCCACTCCTGGCAGAAGGGACAGGGAAGACCAACTACAGGAAAACAAATCAAGTATCCAGAGAAGAGCCACAATTAGTCTTTCTGTCAGTCAGCTATCTTCATCTTGAACCCCAAGGACAGAGCAGTTGTCCTGTTGCCAGGCAACGAGCATACGCAACCTCCCCTCCTAACCCCTTAGCCACTAGAAAAAAGTTCAGTCCAGGATTTTTGTTGTTTTAAATCCTCTCCCAAGGATATGGAGAGAGGAAGGGTGGGAGGGAAGGAGGGAGGAAGAGAAGGGGGGTGAGGGCGAGAGACAGAGAGAGAAAGAGACATCAATGTGAGAGAGAAACACTAATCATTTGCCTCCCATATGCACCCCAACCAGGGATCAAACTTGCAACCCAGGTATGTGCCCTGACCAGCAATCGAACCTGCAAGCTTTCTGGTGCATGGGACAATGCTCCAACCAAGCCACCTGGCCAGGGATAACCCAGGAGTTTGCTAGAACCCCATAAGTAAGCATGAAACACACAGGGAAGGAGGCCGCAACATCAGGGGTGTAACCCCGCCACCTCTTTCTGTAAGGGCTTTAACCTTGCAGAGATACAACCGACTCGCACCAATTACTGGAGTTTTTCCAAGAATCCCAGGTGGAAAGAAGAAAACTATAATCCTACCAGGAGGCCACACTGTTCATGTAGCAGTCCAGTGACCCAGGAGGTTTGTACTTTGACCTGACAAAGTATGATAATGTGCCCGCAGGGTCAGAGGCTCAACCTTGGATATCCTGGAAGAGTTTTCAGCAGCAAAAGTACGGGTGCAAAACTACATACCCATTCCCTCCGCCCACACTTCCTGGGGACCGTCCACCATCCTGTCCCATGTCCCATGATTCAGATACGGCAGCCCAGGGCAGCAGGGAGTGAGCAAACACAATGTTTTACAAAAAGTGCAACCACCTGCCAATTCTTTGGTCTCTTAAAAGAGACCCTGTACTGGAACACAGTGGTAGTTGATACGCTTGGATACAGTGCCTGGTGTGTATTATTCATACGTGAAAGAGGGGTACCAACTTGTCCCCTCAAATCATACATTGCAAGCAACGTACTTTGAACATTCAAGTGCTATTTCAATGCTGACTAGCAACAATCACCCAGCAGTCTTTCCCGATTAGAGCAAACCGAAATGTAATGTTCCTGTACTGAGTCATTCATGAGCAGAAAGGAAGAAGCCAGCTCCCAACGGGGAAGAAGTGCTACTGACCAGAAAGTACACAACCCAAGCATATCGTGCACAGTGTTGTGGTGGTGCGGGCGGTACACGCTCCCTACCCCACTATGTAAACAAGGGCTGGGCTGGCACGGGGCTCCCCTTGTGCAGTGCGGGACCTGTGGCTTGGAAGCGGGACTCACCTGACGTATAAGGACCTCTTCTCGCTTGTCCGGAGGGACCCAGACCCAGAGCTCATGCTGCTGTTCATCATTTGTTCTCGCAAGTCATGTATCTTCGACTCAAAGCGACTGTACTCTGTCAGGAAGACAAGAGAAAGGGGAAGGAAAGAATGAAGCCAAAGGAGCCGCACTGAGCCTGCATGCCAGTGGCCCAAGGGCCAGAGGACACTTGGCTTCAAAGCAGCCCGAGCTGATCTTTGCTTGGATAGGCAGAGTCCCTCCTCCAAGCAGACACAGGCAGACTTCTCTCCACCCCCCACCGTCATAAAAGGAGAGAACACACCTGAAAAAGGAGTCACGTTTGGACATATCAAATGGGAAAGGCTTTTACCTGCCTTGAAATCTCACTGATCCTGAAAGAAAAGAGTAACAACTGGAAATAGGTTCCAGTGCAGCCTTCATAAATCTTCAGAGCAGGCATTAAGGCCCAAGGAGAGCAGATGGGAAAGGAGAATTTCCCAAAGAGTGGATTGCAGAGAACAGATGGCCTTGAGACGCAGGGTGGGGGAGGCTGGAAAGGACCCGAGGCCATTATATTACTGTTAGGCAAGAAAGACGACTTGTTTCTAGATGACTTCTTGGAGTGGGGATCTGTGGTTGGAACCCCGGACCAAGGTAGAAAACAAATGGACCTCACAATCAGATAGGAACGTCACAAAGTGATTTCCCCTTGAACAGACATGGTCTTTGGCTTCAGTAACAATGCTACATTAACACATAAATCTGTCATATCTAGAAATCTGCTAATAACTCCCTCCTCCCAAATCACCTGGTTGGTGGGACCGTGGATGGATCGATCCTTGCCCAGCTCTAAGGATCACTGACATCATCATAACAGCCCAACCCGCCTTAGCACTCTGTAAAGGGGACTGGAGCTGTACGCCAAATGTAAGAAAACCTGATACAGGAAAACTGACTGTAGCCATTATAACTTTATTATAAAAGGCTATTTATAGGGCTGCTTTGCTGTGACATTCTCCTAGTGCATTTAAAATATAATATTCCCATTTAACACACACACACACACAATTACACAACATCTTGCAGGTCTATAATTGCCACATTAAATGGATATGTCTAAGGCAAAGGCTGTGGAAATGGGAGAAAACAGGCCTACTTCATTATGGCCAGCTGATGTTAAAGGAAGCCAAGATTTATTCTAGGGATAGAGGTTGGGGAAGTGCTTTAAAAAAAAAAAAAGCCAGACACATTTCCAGGGAAAAAGAATTCCACAAAAGCATTATACCATACAGGGCTGGCAAGAAGCTTCCCCTTGTAGTCTGTGTGAGTCCACAGCAGAAAACAAAACACCTGTTCCAACACCTGACACTCCCCTTCCCTCAGCAAAGCAACCTGACCTTCAGTTGGGTATGAAGGGAAATGCTACAGAGCGTAAAGGGGAGGAAATGAGGTTCCAACGCATGGAAAGCGCCTCTTCTCAAGAAAGTTTTTGTTCACTCCTGTCCCAATGAAGCGAACTGGTTCAATTCATGTGCTCTTCCATTCGCCCTGCACTGGAGTTATGGGGGTTTGTCCTCATGACCTCCTCCCCGCCCTGAAATCCTACAGGAAGTAGTTAAGTCACTGACTCACCCATTAAATGTTGAGGGGAGGGGAGCGAGATAGCAGCTGGACAATGTCCCTGTTCTGAGGGTTACAGGGCAACGCATCGATATCCATGAGGTGTCCCAAATCTAAAGGTAGAGAGGGTGGCGACCCATCTGTCATACACTGTCCAAGAGCACAGCAGCAGAGCTGTCTACCTCTAGAGCTGGTCTGGGTGCTGGCCCCACCCCAGGACTTGGCCCTTTACCTTAGCCTTCTCCAGTGGCACTCCTTTCTGGCCCTCCTTTGCACTCCCAGGCCAGATGGAGAGCTGGGTGAGACAAAGAGATTTCTGACCAGGCAGCCCTTTCTTGGGGAAGATAAGCAAAAGGCAGAAATATGCATTGAACCCAGAGGAAAAAAATACACCCAATCTGTCCTTAAGCCGGTTTTCCCCCTCTCACAACTTGTTTATATATTTCCCTTCTTTGGAATTGAGTTACTGCTGAACTCCAACTTAGCAGCAGGTCATGGCAGTTGCTTAGTAACTACGTTTCTTAAAAAACCTTTAAAAAAACAACCAGCAAACCACCATTTCCTCAAAGCTCCTAATCCAAGCTTGATAATGCTGGGCCAGAGGGCCCACTTAAAATAGACCTCAGAAAGAGAACGAGGATATTGCTTTAAGGAATCCACTTTCTGTTTTTCTAAGTGCTACTAAGCTTTCGAGTGCATTAAATTGTACTTTATTCATTTTTTTCCCATTCAGATGGTTCCCTTAGAGTTCCAGATGCTCATCAGGTCTCTGGCTTTTATTTGTAGAGTTATCTAACATCCACCAGGCACAGAGTAGCCTCTGAATAAATGACTGTTGGGTAAATGAGGAGCAAATTACAGAAGTGCGCCCAAGCCGACACTTCTCAGAACTCATAAACCCAATGGTTTATTTAACTGATGGCTGCCAGCTTCACTGAAGACTTGGAAAGGTAGTTAAGAACTATTCCCATTTACTTTCTTACCAAGGTTAATTGCTGGGAGCAATTGGGATATGTCTTTCAAACACCCTTTTGAGATGTTAATAACTCACAGTGGGCATCTGATTAACAGACTTTGTTTATAACAAAGAGAAAAAAAAACCAATTCTAACACAAAAAGTGTTTAGAATAGTCTCAAGGTAGATAGTACCTCAGCTTAATATTATAGGCACTAACTATTATCCAAGAACAGGAGCTTCAGTTAAAATGTGTTTGAATTCTAAGGACTCACAATTTGCCAAGGTCCCTCCCCCACACACTTACAAGGGTCCATGATGCATCGATGAGAAAGCTGCTGCTTAGAAAGCCCACCAGACTAGCCTCTAACCCAAAGGGCCCACTTCAAATGCGCTACTTCAAAGAAACACTCATTGCTAACATCTCAACTCTACTTACACTGTGTTTTATTCATTTTTCCCATTCAGATGAACGCAACCACTTGTGACCCACAAAGATGTCCACGGTGAGTCACTGCAGCCATTGTTTCCTTCGCTAAACACTGAGAGTAAGAGGGGGCGCAATCAGTCAACATTTCCCCAACACAGAGTTTCTCACTGACCCCCAAGGGTGCCTCTGAAAGATCTTGGACTCCACCCCAGACACTGACTCACAGCTTACTGAGCAGACCCAGGAATCTGCATTTTTAGCAAATGTCGAGGTGGCCCTGTTTTCTTTCATTGTATATTAAATACGGTGATTCTGATGCCCAATTGGGTTTGGAACTGCTGTTCTTGGCTTAGAAAAATTGAGCTTTGTGTCGTTCAGGGAAAAGATAAGGTAAGTATCGTGTGCAGAGTACAGCAAAAGGAGGGTATGGTACCCTCTCCGAAAAAAAATAATTGATAATTCAAAAAGAAAAAAATTTTTGAAAAATAAGAGACAAAAATTCACAATACAATTGCAACCCCCCCTCCCCCAGGAAAGTGCTAGAGGCCGCTGTCCAATGTGCCTGCAGAGAAAGCTGATGAGTTTACAGCTTTTGAAATTACAAAAGTAGCACATGATTTTTATAAATCCATAACTTTTTTCTTTAGACACTCCCATATCATTTCCCCATCCCATTACCCACAGGTCATCAGTTAAGATTTTTAGTATGTATCTTTCCAGACTTAGTTCCGGGTACAGTTGACCCTTGAACAACACAGGTTTGAACTGCACAGGTCCACTTACACACGGATAGTTTTTTGATAAATACTGTAAACATTTTCTCTTCCTTATGATTTCTTATTAACCTTTTCTGTGGTTTTACTTTATTGAAAGAACAGTACATAATACACACAACACACGAAATATGTGTTCACTGACTGTGTTATCAGTAAGGCCTCCTCCAGTCAACAGCAGGCTATTAGCTAAGTTTGGCGAGAGGCAAGTTATACGTGGATATTTGAGAGCCCAGGGTCAAGCATCCCTAACCCACGCATTGTTCAAGGGTCAATCATTCATATATATTGTTTATATACATACACTCACAACTTACACAGTCACATGCATCTCCTTTTTTCTATTCTCTGATATGTCAGTGGAAACCCACCCACGTCAGTACATAGAGATCTACCTCATTCTTTTTTTTTTCCTTAAGATTTTATTTACTTATTTTTAGAGAGGGGAACAGAGAAAGAAAGATAGGGGAGAGAAACATCAATGTGTGGTTGCCTCTCATGTGTCCCCTACTGGGGACCTGGCCCGCAACCCAGGCATGTGCCCTGACTGGGAATCGAACTGGTGACCCTTTGGTTCACAGGCTGGCACTCCATCCACTGAGCCACACCAGCTGGGGAATTCTTTTTAATAGCTGCATAGAATTCCACATTATGGATAGACCATCATTTTTTCAGTCATATCCCAATGGACATACATTTAAATTGTTTACAATTTTTCAATATTACCATCAGTGCTGCACTATTTATTTCTGAGTCTTACCATAGCATGGATTCCTAAAAGTGAAAGTGCTGGGTGAAATTACATTCACATGAAAAAATTTGATTGGCAGTACCACATTGAACCCCAACATCCTGAAACTTTTATGACTGGAAATAGGATAAAGTGATGTTTTAAAATTTCAAGCAGCTTTTCTGTTTCTGAAGAAGTGGAGGCGGAATTTGCCTTTGAGGACAGACTGATCTTTTGTTTGGGGGAAAAAACACTTCAATGAGCCTTTGGTTATGCCAAAGTAAAATCAAGATTGTATTCTGGAATAGACAAAGACAAAGAGGAACCTCAAATGTTCTCACCGCATAATCATAATCGCAGAAAATGTGGTCCTTCTGTGGGAGGAGTTGCAGGCTCAAAGGTCTCGTCCTGACACCTATGTGACACTCTATCTTCCTCTAGAAATAGCTACCTCTACACTTGACCCCTATGCCTCCCCCTACTTGATAAACTCAGGCCAAACCTCCCTGATACTGTAAAGAACACCTCCCTTCCCACCCCCCTTTCCCCAGAGCACAACCAATAGTTCATACTAATTGCTTCCTCAGTGCATCAATTTCTAACTTTC